TTTTTTCTCTACATGGCTACTGGATCCAGAATACATAAAATACAAGGTCAGTCGCTACGAAGAAGGAGAAGTCTTAGCGCGCATTATGCGAGCAGTGCTCGGCACTCCACGCCATGGGATGACTACGTCATGACGAGCGATGTTCGGCACTCCACGCTGAAGGGTTAATTGCATGTGTCAGCCATATGAAAATACGGCTCGGTCACTGTTATATATTTTACCTTTGTTTCCTTTACTAAAAATATTATTTATGAGATAGAGGTTTCAGTCATTCATGCAATGAAGCAGTCTGTGGTGAGATACAAGATTTTACCAGTAAAAGAAATTATGAAAAATGGAATACAAAATTCAGATTTTCATACTTCACTTTCGGAATGCCTTAACTCTCAGACGTGGTTTTACGTGTACACACGCGGGCATTTAAATTAAAGTTCTTGTGGATTTACGTATAAACACGCGAGCCTCAAAGCCTAATTTAAAACGCCCATAAGTATGGAATAAATAACGCCAGCGCGATGAGGTTTGTTCTCGCCTGTTGTGGAAATAAAGCTCTATGTGTATACATGTGGCAACAGTGGGACATTCCAATGACCTGCAAGGGACAGTCTAAAAATAAACGCCTGACCAAGTAGTTTACAAGGGCTCTCTCCCTTCGACTAGTTGTCCTCTGACGGAGCTAGACCAAATACAAGTTTTAAATGAAGTTTTAGAAGATGATAGTATAAGTGAATATAGTTCGGACGATGATAGTGTATTTGACATTGATTACACACAGTTTGTGACACCGGGAACTGTCGTGTTTAGCGATAGTGATTGTGATAATGGTAGACGTGGTCGACAGGACGACATCGTACATGCAGGTGTGGTTTCCAACAAGATTTTGTGGGAAAATATAGACTCATTTCCTGCTTCACGAGAAGCATTTTGTAATGTATGTGGTCCCCAGTTCGACACTGCTGAACTAGATGTCGTGAGTTTATTCGAAAATATTTTCGATATAGCACTTGTGCAGCACATTGCTGATCAAACCAACAGATATGCTCAGCAAGAAATATCAAAAAGTGCCAATCCTCTCACATTTCGCTCTAGGATTAGGAAGTGGCAAGATGTTACAGTGGACGAAATTTACGTTCTTTTGGCTCTATTTATGTTGATGGGCATTGTGCAAAAGCCTACACGTAGATCTTACTATTCAAAGAACCGGCTGTTGTACACTCCGTTTTTTCTGAAACTAAACTTCTAATCGACTTGCTTTCACTGCTCACACATCTCATCTTATAAGGTAAGATTATAAAACCATCTTTTAAGAGGATTTCAGTGAAAAATTCATAATTATATCTCATATAGTTCAAAAGTTATGGAAAAAAGAGTATTTTACAGCAAAATTTAAACGCGCATTTAAAAAATACTACCGCAGGAACAGCACGACAGCAGTATATGCGGGGTATTTAAACTACCACGTCGACGGGTTAAAAACTAACTGTGTCAAGTACATCTCAAGAAAGCAGCAATACTATTGTACTGAACATGAGATAACACAGAAGTACATCCAGTGGTGCTCAGGGACTAAAATACCATGTACAAGAAAGGTGTCTACTTTCTTACCTCTTCATACTGAAATTTCCTCTTGCTAACTATAACATCTTCTATTCCTGTTCGGTCACCATATTTTTTTTCATGTATTATGTACGCTTTGTACAATTCCTGTGTTTGATCTTTGGGGATGTGATCTAACGCATACTTGTAGATTACCCTGGCTCGATCATGCTAGAAGGAAGAGGTATATCTGATTGTAGAACACACTGAGTAATACTATGGAAAAGAAAGATGAGACCTCATTAACTCTTCTCTTACAACCCTGTTTATACATAATGTTAAAATCACCCTAACTGGACAACCAATCAATTATGAAGTTGAACTCTTACTGAACATATTATGCATAAAATAGATCAAAGTTTTGATAGGAATAAGTATTTTGAACATTATAAACAGTAAAATAATATGTACAGAAATAATAGTTTTTATCAAACTTTTCAAAGTCTACCAGCCAGCAAACACTTCTAAAGTACTTCAAATCCCTACACTATCCTTGATAGATTTTTTAAAAATATGCTTTTGTTATAATCATTTTTGCATTTAACATAGAGTAACAATACAGTTACCTTACAAAATGCCCAATTTGACATCAATAAATTATGAATATTTATTGCTAAACATGTTAAGTTTTGTATGGAGATGGTACAGAATTTTATAATTATGCCTGATTATGACTTTGATGAACAGAAATGATGCACAAACATAGGTTATTAAGTTACATAATCAACCATACTTAATTTCTGCATGCCTCTCTACATACATGGAAGAATTTTACATTTATTGCACAGAAAGATGATTTAACCCCCGTATTACAAGGCTGTTTGCAGTATGCTGCTGTGTTGAAAGTAAACCTGGACTGCTTGTACGACATGACACAAAGACACTAAAGGTTAAAGGATAGTAGATGTTGTAAGTTCTTTCTGATAAATGTTTATATTACTTTGTGTATAACTGTGCTAACTGTAATGTTCGTAATTTTCAAGTACCTTGCCCAATTTCAATCTTTCTATTTGAAAATATTTTTCAACTTCACCTTATTTTCAATTTTAAACCTACAGTCCTATTTTATAAGGTGGATTAAGGGTTAACAATCTCTGCACATGCGTGTGCATGCACACGCATGAGGGGGAGAGAAAGAGAGACTTGCAAAATGCAAGAGTCTCAATTTTCTTCTGAATGCAAGAAGGATGCTAGAGAGTGAACAGATAATAAGTTTAATATATTAACAGTAAACTGTATGCATAAGAAAATACTGTAAATTGGCAACTGACATTGTTTACATAGGGCTCTGGCTGAGTTTGTTAAAAATATACCAAAGTAAAGAATCCTTATGACACTATGCAATATGTACCTCTCTTTGCCCCTCTTCAAACTTTGCAAATGCTATAAATAATTTCTCATCCATTGACTCCTCTCCAAAGAATTCAACTGCTCTTTCAAATACACGCCGTGCACCTGAGATAAATCCATGTTGTTCTTCAAACCTGTAACATGTATGGCAGTATGTTCCACATTTGTACAGAAAAATACAATGCCTGGAGGACTCACTACAATATTGTACATGAAATCATTAAATTCAGTACAAAAGAGCACAAGAACCAGAATTAAACTACTGTCTTGGCACTTCTGAAAGGATGTCATAGGGCTGGACTCTGTGGACTGAATTCATATGGCTCAGGACAGGAACTAATGACAGAGTCTTTTAAACACAATGGACCTTAGTTTCCATAAAAGGTGTGGAACTTCACAATTAGCTGAGCATACTATTGACTTCTCAAGAATGACTTTGCTTCATGGAGTTAGTTATGGGATTATAAATCCAGAGGTTACACTCTATTTATGAAGCAATAATATGAGCAACAAATAAAATATGTAGTTTAAACAATTAAAATAATACCTTGCAAATTTGATCCAATTTCGAACTCCTGGATGTACATACACAAACTTCTCATAAATTCCTCTTGTTCTATCAATTTCTTTGTAACGTAACTCAAATTTTATATATGTGAGCCATGCCTGTTCATCAGGTTCCCAGTCCATCCATCGATCAAACACCTGACGTGCACCTGAAAACATATTCATCTCACATTAAATGTAAAATCATAGAAAATTATTTTACATTTCATTTATACCTTAATGGCACATAACTTAACTAACCAGCAATATTGCCCAGCATTTCCTCCATGTATGTATATTTGTACCAGAACTGATTGGCACGTGGAAGAATTGTTACAGCCCGATCCCACAGATTTCGGGCATGGTTCACCTGCCTGTTCCGCATCTCCATCTCTGTATATCTGAGCCATAGTGTGATGTTTCGATGATCAACATCCAATGCTCTCTCATAAATGGATCGAGCCCTATGAACACCAAACACATTTATACAAAAGATCATAAAGTGTTATATATATATTCCAAAAGATCTGTAGCTACACAGTCCACGAATTTAGTAATTCAGAAAAAATTAAATTTACTAGATCAGATGCATAATTAAATTTCTCTATACCTTGGGACTTCTTTTTGACTTTCCTCCCACTGTGCATACTTAATCCAGTTGCTAATAACTGTGCGATTTTTTCTAAGGCTGTCCTCAAAATTTTTGATGTTGGTAATCAGCAAGTTCATCTGGATCAGAGATTTTCTGCTTAGGAGGCTGAAATCAGAAGTAATGTGAGAGCATAATACAGTATACTAGCATTAAATATGTATGAGCCTTGTTGAAGATATAAAGACACCTCTTAAGGAATACTTACAGGTGGTAAGATTTCAAGGTCCCGTTCCTTGGCTTCTCTTAAAAGCTGTTCAGCAGTGATCTGGATTTCTGCTGGAGCTTTATTTTTTACCTAAAACAGAATTTAAAATTAGTACCTGCAAAATAAATCTGGCATCTACAGAAACAAGAAGAAATCTCTTTGTCTGTATAAGGAAAGTTATCATTCATATATAGGATTTGAGGTTTTCATAGCGGTGAGTCTGAAGACAGTAATCTTCATTCATATGCTTTTCAACAGAGTAATTACACCCTTCTAGGAGGAGCTCCTTCAGCTTCTTTTTAAACTGATGATCATCACTTATCCATCTGATGAGAGTAGGGAGTTTGTTTGTTGTATAACTTACAACCTGCAATGACTAGCCTACTGTTGAGGATTTAAGGTTCTGAGGCAGCTGGTGAAATTGTCAAATGGATATGAAAATGTCTGTGATATCGAGTATAAAATTTGGAACCGCAGACTAACAAAATATTCTCCAAGGGTGGCTACTGGTCTCAGGCCAGCTGTTCATCTAACTGCCCTTCAAGAGATTGAGGTTAAATCACCTCTGATGGTTAAACATAAACCATACCTAATTTGTTTATTTAAACGGCAGGCCTTAAACACGAAGACAGTAACGATAAAACTAGTTAATAATTATCTCGAAAAGTTACTTATTACATTTGCTACTACAAGAATCGAGAAAACAACAATTACGTACCTTTGCCACTTTGGGCATTTTCTGTGGTTTCGTCTCCATTCTGTACAAAGTTAAAAGATCACAATGTATACTAAATTTCACTTAATAATTACGATATTTTCTGGTAGTTTACAATTTATTTTACCTCCTTCACATTGCCTAATACACTAACCATAAATAATATTGCATGAGGTACATACACAAATCACAGATAAAAGCAATGTACAAACTTACAACAGAGATGATAAGTATTTTCAGTCCACATAGCGCTTTGCACTTTTACCTGCGTTAAGGAATGAATCTTGCTGCCATCTCGTACTATAAATGTGGAACGAAATTCAGTGTATTAACATTTCAGAAATGTAAAATTAAATTTAATATCACGTGTCTTCTCTTAAGAGTTTATAAATTATAGTTCTGGAATCACAAAATAACATCTTGCGTTGTATATTAAGGGAAACACGTAAACATAATATTATTTGTTAAATGGCACACCACCCAAAGTGTTTTAAATCTTCACTTAGTTCAGCATCAATGTGAAGTTTATTATTATTTTTGAGGTACGGTGTTGTAAATCGTAAATAAACCGAATATAAACGTAAATAACTTACATTACCGGTGTTTGAGCGCACACAACTTAATATGTAGTGTAACAGAAAAGTAATTTCTACAATTTAGCCAGAAAATAGTACTGTTGTATTGTGTTAATTTAGAAAATAGTGGCATTTTCAGATTCTGTATTGGTTAACATGACATATTTACTTCAGTCTGGTACAAGAGTTGCTTTACAGTAAATCCAACAATGGATGTGGCTGAGTCACACGTTGATGGGAGTTTAAATAATGAGAATGAGAAGGAAGGTGAGGTGTCATCAACATGTAATGATAATCTTACAGTCGGTACCCTCTCAAATAACTGTATAGAAACTGGAACTGGCAGTATTGAACCCTCTTCTTTAATACAAGAAGAACTTATTCATTCTGATTCACCAGATACATCAGGTGCCTCTGCAGGACAGGGTGGTCTAGAAGTACATAGCAAGTCAGAGGCTGTGCAGAGAGAATTGAGTGATAATACAGAAAATGTTGGCACAGTACAGAGTCAAGATGCTGCTGCTGTAGAACACAAAAGCCTTCTTGATGTAGGTGCACGAGTACTTCAACACATACCAGGTGAAAACATACAGTTACTTAACATCATCGAAGACAGTGAAATTGTTTTACTAGATGAAAATTTTGTAATATCAACAACATCAGAACCTACAACTTTTATGATGTCTTATGAAAACCAAGAAGAAATGCAGGATGTGGAAATGTCAACAACTGATAATACAGAGTTACAGCTGGAAATTCCACAGTCAGTAAATGTGTCATCTGCAAAAGCCTCAGAAAATGCTGTATCAGTTGATGTCTTGAGTAGTCAAACAAAAATCTGCTCCTGGAATCCTGACAGCACAACTATTGAGCTTGCAGAAGGAAGTAATAATGAAAATGAAAGCATACTGTTTACTGAAGAAGAAGTTTCAACAACAGAAGAGGATGTAGGAAACTTGGTTTCAACAAGCAATTCTGTCACACTGGGGACAGGAAATGTTTTATGTACATCAGGAGACAATATATCAGTTCTCAGTACCACAAAGGCAGAATCTGTATGTGGAACATCTGTTCAAGAGGTTGTTCAAGACATGCATACATCTCAGAGTCATACAAGAGATTCTAAAATCATTGAAACTGCACCACAGAATTCAGGCATTTCTACTACATGTGTGAAGGATATTAATATTCCTTGGCAAAGAAAGCGATGGGGTCAGGTTAAATCTGCTGCTGAAACCAGGCCTGTTGAACAAGCAAGTTGTGAATCTCAAGCTTCTGATTCAGAGGGGCAAACACACAGCCCTTTGCCTGAACCTTCAACCAGTAAACAAGAATCTCATGTTAATTTTCCTGAACAGTCAGTGTGTACTTCCAAAAAACCAAAGAATCATAATTCTCTATCAAACCCAATACAAGACTGTGTGTCATCCAGCAAAGATGTAGACATTGTGAACAAAACTGTTTTTACAAGACATCAAGAAAGTAATTTAAACACTACAACAAATGTTAATACAGTACCACAGTTGTCTTCTGCTCTAGATTTGATTAAATCAAGTTACTACTCACCTTTTGATGATGAAATTCCTTCTCCAGGCTCTTCCACTGTTGAAGAACAGAAATATACACATGATTCTACAAATCAGACAGGTGAATGTAGTACTACTAATAGTTCTTCAAATGAAAACTTCAACATACTCACTAAGGATCAAACTAGCAGTTCAACCTCATCAGAATATCTCCAGGAGAAAGTAATTTCAGATTCCAATGTATCTAACCAAAATTTGAAAGGTGAAATTTCTGAAAGTAAATTGAAGGGGAATGTTAAAATGTCTATACCGTCACCTAGCCTGTCTGATAAAAGCAAAGAGAAAACAGAACAGATAATATTGGGAAATGCTTCACCATCAACAGTTACAGACAACAATTTGCACCAACCTACTGATTCCATGGTACAGTCAGAAACAATGTTAAGTAAACCTGTTGCCAAAACAATTATGAAACATACTGCACAACTTGCCTCATCAGCTGGAAAAACAGTTACAAGTGCTGGAAAGCTGTCTGTATGTTCAGGAACAAATTTATTAGAAGATTTAAAGGAAATGATCACAACAAACAAGAAATCTTCATTTACTTACTCAAATACACCAGCAGTAGCCAAGAAGTTTTCATGTGTTGTCACAGATGTACCCACAGAGAAAAGAAAATCTTTAGGTGTCACTGAAGCTTCAAATAATAAATCTTCAGATGTTTCAGAAAAATCAAATAGAAAAGATTTTTCATCTGTCACAAAAGCACAAAGAAGAGAAGAATCTTCAAGTGTTACAGATATTCCAACAACAAAGAAAGAACCTGTCCATGTTTTCAAAGAAACACTACTAACTACAAAAAAATCATCAGTTGTCATAAAATCAGGAAAAACACGAAAA